AAGACAGAGTGTTTCCAGAATGACCCGTCCAACGCTTCCACCACTATCTGAGAAATCACCTGTTAAACAACCTTTAACAATGCAGCATACATCTCCTACTTCAAAATTATCAAGTAACTATGGTTTACCTCCACCAAACTTATCTTCTCCACTTCAACGTTCGCTTTCAGGTCAAAATCAAAACGTTTCAGGTTCTCAAACATTGCCTTCGGCATTAAATCCCGTTCACCAACGCCTACAAGTTACGGAAGCAACTCAACGTCCAACCTCTCCTTCGCTTGCTTTATATTCAATAGGAGAACGAGTTACCGTTGAGTCAATGAACATTTCAGGTACTTTAAAATTTTTAGGTCAAATTGACACGAAGCTTGGAACTTGGGCCGGAATAGAAGTGGATGCTCCAGGAACAGGTAAAAATGACGGGTGTGTTAATGGGTAAGTTATATTCCTTCCTTTCTCACTCTTATTTATATTTATAACTTTTATTTAAAATATTTTTTTAAGAAATAATTTTTTGTTTGATTGCTTGATTAGTAATATTAATAATAAAAAATTGAATAGGAAGAAAAAAAATTTTTTTTTAATCTTATATATTTGTTTATTTTAACATAATTCCAAAACTAAGTATAAGTATATTTTTTTTTAAAAAAAAAAAAAAAGTGGAAAGAAAAATAATTAAAATTCATTGAATTTGAAATAAGATTTAAATATAATTAATAATAGAATACATTATTATATTTATCAAATTCATATCATAACCTTATTGGTGTCTTTTTTCTTTTAATATTATAATTAGCAAATCCTATTTTACTTGTCCGCCAAAATCGGGTATATTTGTTAACTCAACTAAACTTACCAAGTCAAAGGAATCTAGGGATGTGCCAAATTTACCACAAACATCTTCAGTTAACAAATCTTCTAACGCAATGCTACGATCACCTTCTACTTCAAGTAATTCAAGCGATAAAGCATCGCCTGGCACACATGCTCAAAACGCTGCTATAGCGGCTGGTCGTATTACGGCCGGTTCACGAGCTTCAAAATATATTGGAGTCACAGCATCTCAACTAAAAAACAGAGGTTTAGCCAAACCATCAATCATTACCGGGATATCTGATAATGCTCTTAATGGCCACACAACTTCACCGAAGTCTAAGCCAACATTAGGATTAGGAATCATGAGACCTAGTTCCCTCCAAAGTTTAAAGTCCCCTTCTACACCTCCATCTAATGGTAGGCAATATCGTAACAGGAGAGATTCGTCATCATCTACCGGATCGGCTGTATCAAATATATCTCAACCAGCATCTTATGTTCCTAAGACTTCATCAGGTTTACCTCGTTCGCGATCTGTTACACCAAATCCTCCAAATGAATCGCAACATACTTCTGATAGTGAGAATAATATTAAAGAAGAAATGAGCAATAAATCACTTCAAGAAAAAATTCAAAAATTACTCAATGATCCAGATACTCCTGATAGTGTTCCTCTGGGATTATTTGATCAACAAGCTATCAGAATTCAACAATTACAAATGAAAATTGAGGTATTGGAAACAGAAAACACCCATTTAAAACTTCATAATAAAAAATCGCAATCTCCTCAAGAAAATGATGATATCGAAAAGGTTCAATGGAAAAAGGAGAAAAAAGCTTTCTTTGATGAGAGAGAATTAAGAGAAAAGGCCTTGAATGATCAAATATCAGATTTGTCCAGACAACTTCAAGAAGTTGTTGTAAAGGGTCATCATCATAGACCAAGTACTTCATTATCAATGATCGCTGATGACGACAACATGAGTGATAAGATATTACAGTTGACCGAATTAATTGAACAAAAAGATGAACATCTTAAATCACTTGAAGAAACTATCAAAGAACTTGAAAAGACAAATTCCAATCAAAGTTCAATCAATGCACAAAATGAAACTTTGGATAATATTACTCAATTAGAAAAGGTTGTTCAAGATAAAACAATCGAGATTGATCAATTAAATGCAAAATTTGATCAATTTAAACTCAATTCAGAGAGTACAATCAAAACTTTGCAAGAATCAATTAATAATCTCAAGTTAGCAGGTCAAGAAACAATTAATATTTATGAAATGAAAGTTTCTTCATTGGAACAACAAGTTGAAGATTTAAAGAAGGGTGGCGTTGAGACAATCACTTTATACGAAGAGGCAACAATTAGAATTGCTGAACGCGAAGAAAAAATTAATACGTTGGAAAAGGAAGCAGAAGAGTTACGATCTGCTGGTGTGGAAGCTATCGATGTATATGAAAAAACAATCGAAGAAACCAAGAGAGAAGTTGAGGAAGTTAGTAGTCAATTACTTAAAAAGGAGGAAACCATTACATCTTTATCTAAAGAAGCAGATAGATTAAAGTTAGTTCTAAAAGAATTAGCAGAAGCAAAGATAAAATTGGAAATGAATGATAAACGTGAAGAAGGTCTTCGAAATGAATTGGCAGATTTACAAACAGGCTTAGAACACATGATGCGTGCAGATGCTAAATCAAGAGAACGTACATATCAATTGGAAGATGAAGTTCGTGAGTCGCAAGCACTTGTTAATAGACAATTAGAAGAAATAAGTTCTCTAAAAAATAATATGCAAGATTTAATGAATGCAAATAATAATGAGGAAATTGAAAAAATCAAAGAAGTTTTCGAAAGTGAAGCAAAGAGATTACAAGAAGAATTAGAAGATGTAAGAAAAACTTTATCAGAAGTACAAACTGAAAAACGTATCATTGCGAGTGAAACAGATTCTTTGAAGGATGAGAAAAAAATATTAGAAAAAAAAATGCAGGATAGTGATCGTAAAAAAAATGATATTATTGTTGAGTTAGAAGCTTTAAAAATTAGTAAAAAGCAAGATGAAGATGAAAAAAATCAAATTGTTTCTCAATTAGAGGAATTAAGATTAAATGTAACTAAAGATGAAGAGAAAAAAAAACAATTAATCCAAGAATCGAATATAGAAAAAAAAACGCTTGTTGAAGAATGCGAAAATACAAAAAAAGAATTGGTTGAAACACGCGAAATTGCTCAAAAGGAACTTGAAAATTTACAGAAACAACTTTATGATTTGACTAAGAAAGCTGAATATGCTGAGCAATTAAAGTCTGAATTAGAAATAAAATCTCAAGAAATTAAAAATTTGTCAGAGAACTTTGAAGATTCTAAGAATGAAAGTGAAAAACTGAAATCCTCTCAAGAGGCAGTTGCACAGAATAATCTTGAAAATCTTAAGATAGAATATGAAAACCAAATTAATGTTTACAAAGTGGAAAATGATCAATTGAAACAAAAGATAAATGATTTGGCGTTGACAAAGAAAAATATTACTGATACCATACAACAGAATACACAAGGATATGAAGAAAAAATCGCTGCGTATGAAGAACAGGTTGCTCGTTTCACACATATTGTTCACGAATTGACGCGTGAAAATGTATCAATTTCTGGTGAAAATAAAAAGATTTTAGCAGAACAGGAGAAGTTAATGGAAGCTCATAAGCAAGTTGAAAATGAATGTCTCAAGTTGATGGATGAGTTAGAGCGTCTGCACAGCGAATCACTCAATGGACAGTACACGATAAATATTACACCATTACAGACCGGAAGTTCACATAATGCAGATGGAACTAAATTAGGAGAAAATCAAGAAACTTCAGGGGATAAGCAATCTCAAACACAACAGAACATTAATGGGCAGCATGCCAATGGCGATTTAATGCGTCTTCAATCACTCTTAGCTGAGAAACAAACACAATTAGAACGCCTTTCTTCAATGCATAACTCAGAAATTCGTGAATTGCGAAAGAAAGTATCTGAATTAGAAAAATCAAAAAAACGAGAAATTAAATCATTGAATAAAGACGTAGCTGAATTAGAATCATTAATTGAAAGTAAAATATTTCGGGAAGCAGATTTGGAAGAGGAAATTCAACGTGAACGTGGAAATTCAAAGCGATTAAAAGATGAAGTTGAAGATTTGCGCGAACAATTAACCGAAATCAGAAATTTAGATAATTCAACTAATGTTCTAGAGGCAACAATTATTGGTAATGGTATAATCTCTAAATCTTCTATTAATTCGAATAAACCAAATGGGGTTGAAGATGGCACAACTAATTTATATTGTGAGATTTGTGATGAAGAAGGTCATGACATCATCAGTTGCAAAGCAGTATTTGGTTCACATTCATCTAATATAACAGAAGATAAATCAGCTGATGATTATATACAAAATGAAAATGCTATCAAAGACAGACCGGTTAGTAGGTTTCTTTTTTTTGTGTGTGTAATTAAATTACGCCAATTTTTAATAAATTTATGATTCTATATATATAGTATTGTGAATACTGTGAGGAATTTGGACTTCACTGGACAGAAGAATGTCCAAATCAAAATGAGACATTTTAATTTTCCTTAAAGGGAGTTATCATTTCTTAACATTTTTTTTTTTTTTTTTTTAAAAAAAAAAAAACTTTCTATTATTTCTTAATTATAATTAATTTTTTTTATAAGCAATTTTGGAAATCCTTTATCTTTCCAAAGTTTTGCGTTACCTATAAATTTTGTATAATTACCGATTAATTATATTGCAATTTAGCAATATATCTTTTTAAATTATTATTTTTTTTTTATAAATTGTACTATACAAATTTTTTTATTTGATAGATTTTAAAATTATTATTTATTTATTTTTTATTTTATTTTATTTTTTTTTTTTTTTCAACATTTCCCTCCCATAAAAATGAATTTTAAATTAACTTTTTTTTTGGATTGTTGTTGTTTCAATCATAAATCATCATAATATATATATATAAGTCTCTTTCTTAGCATCACATCAACTATTGATTTTATTAATAAAAATATATTATTTTTATATGTAAAATACAATAATAAATAATTTAAAGATAAAATTTGCTTGATAGATTAAATTACAAAAGATAATCTTTAGATTTAATCAAAAGGTTCGTTATTTTCATTCAACTTTTTTGCTAAGCTTCATTTCTTTCTTTGAAGTCTTACTGATTTTAGCAACATAAGGAACAAAGCCTAATCCCCATTTAATATTATACTCGTTGTCTTTACGTAATAATATCACCCTAATATAACTACTGAATACAATCCAATAATAAGTACCGAAAGCAGTACCGATATGCCACCATCCATGTAATTCCAATAAATGACTTAAAGGCATGCCAATTTTATAGCGAGATTGTCTTAATTGATGACATGCTATATTATCAATATTCCAAAAGAAAAATCCAAGCCCAAACATCGTCCAAGCTGTGAACAATAGTTTTTTCATACGAATTCTAATGGGAGCTTTAGGTACTTGAGATAATAAATAATAAGAACGGACATTTATTACTGATACTAATAATGCATATGATACTTGATGAAACACTGGATTATTGATATATAGATAAGCCGCTGTTACACTTGACGCGTATGTAAATAGAGCTAAAGGTAAATATAACCCAAATTTTCTTTTTTCTCCCGTTTCAAAACTATGAATATCAAAAATGAAAAAAATTAGGTTGAATTAAAATATAAATATAATGGAACAGCACTTACATGTTGTGTGTTAGGATGCATGTTGTATAGATCACTATAATATAACCAAAGAAAGTTAATTAATAATGAAATGAATTCAACTTCCAAATTTTTGGGAAATACCTTACTTGGAAGTTCATCTAATAATTGGAATTCGTATAACAAAGTCATATGAAAACACCAAGATCCTATCCCGACCAATGCAATTCCAGCATATCCGAGCGCATTACGAAATGGTAGACCATATTTTAACGTGATGTAAATGCCGAAAATTGCCAAACTAACTAATAGAAACAATACACTTCGTCAGTCTTCGAAGCCTTTTTACATAAGTAAATGATTTTTAACACTTACCGAAAATGAGATTTGTTGTTGTGTTTATAAATTCGGCAATATATTTATGAACTATATAATTTTCCTTTAAACAAAGAAAGAATAATAAAAAAAATATATTTTGAGAATATAAAACATTCTAAAATCACAAAAAAAAAAGCCAATTATTTAAAGTGAAATGAATTATTTATTATAGTCTTACTTCACACCAATCCAAAGTTGCCGTTCTAAAAGTAATGTCATTAGATCATATAATTGTTAAGGAAAAAAAATTGTTTTTTTAGTACTTACGGATCTCCCCAGAAAGGTTCTTTCGTTTCTTTCTTTTCGAACATTATGTCAAATTAAAATCTATATAATTATCCCCCTCCAGGAAGGGTGAAATATTTATCACTATTAACTAACCAATAACATTGGATGTCATAGCTAGGCTCTTAAAAAAACACAGCCAAGGAGAATTACTTATTTTAATTAGAATCTATAAATATAAAAATTTCGAAAATTATTTCCGGTATTTTTCCAGTTTCTCACGATTCACGAGGGAAGGTGATACAGCATTTCTTAAATACCAAAAAGATATGATTTGTAATATATGCAGAAAAAGAACTAATCTAGAATATTTAGAAGCCAAAGAATTATGAAGCACTAATATATTAAAAATAGGAAATCATAACTAGTAAAAATTAAAAATAACTTGTCAAATTGAATTAACTATTTTAATTGAAATTAATATTAATTTAAAGAGTAAAATGGGTTGTGATCTAAGAAAATCAAGTTCTGAGAATTTTTTAATAAAATTGAGATTTTAATTGCATTTTAATTTTTATTACATTTAGATTGAAATGTAATAAGATATTAATTTTAGTTAAAAATATCTCAGAACTTGATTTTCTTAGATTACAACCCAAATAATCAAATATTAATTACATTTAAAAGAATGTTAGAAATAGCTAATAAAGATTTAGTAGATTTTTTAATAAATTATCATTAAATAATCCTAATACCAAAAATAATAAAACTAATGAAAATAATAAAAAAATGCTTTTTTTATATTATTTTTAATCAGTATTTATAATAAATATATTAATGATATTGTTAACGTGTAATTCTTGCGAATTACAACTGTTAAATAAGGTGTCAGAGTATTATTTCTTTTTAATTGCACAGTAATCTTAAAGCTTTTATAAGTTTATTATTACGACTAAATTCAGGCAAAGGTTTCAGATAAAGATTTTTACGAGTATTTCACAATTAACAATTAATGAGGTATCAAGTAATTATATTTTCAAGTAAGATGTTTATTGATAAGATAAGAAATAGAAATAAAGAGAATAAAAGATATAACAAGAGAAAAGAAAAATAAAATAAAGAAACGAAGGATTAAACTAAAATGTAACATGATAGGCCTGTTTGTCTTTTAAAACTACTGGAAAACTGACTTGTCAAATCCTACTTTTTACATGGTCTAAAAAGTTATCTATTTATATAAAATACAGTATATAGAAAGATATAACTAATATGTCTAATATATCATATATGTCAAATATGTCCGATATGTCATATATGTTGAATCTATCTAATATATCTTATTTATCGATCATGTCAGATATATCATATATATCAGACATGTCAAAAATGTCAGATATATCAGATTTGTCAGATTTATCAGTAATCTGCGTCGCGTAAATCTTATCATATTTTATTCGTTCACAATATAATATTAAAGTAAATATTAAATCATATAAATTTATAAAGCTTTCTTATCTTCTATTATATTAATATACAGTTAAACCTTACTATAATAAATTTTTATTGTTACCAAACTATTGATTAGGTGGAATGAAACACATAATTAGGGTTTCGCAATTCGATTTGATATTTGAATATTTGATTTGATTTGAGTAAATTCAATTAAAAGAATAATTTATTTGATCAAATCCAAATTAATGTTTAATTCAATTCGATCAAATTCAAATCAAGTATTCAAATATTAGTTTGATTTGAATCAATAATAAAGCCATATCCAAAGTTTTAGGAGTTGCTCATACTAATAAAACTATAATAAAAAGCACTTCCACAGCTTTGAAAATGCTTTTTTTACTAAGAAAATCTGCAGCTTCAAAAATGTCTTTTTACTAAGAAATTATAACAAAAAGCATCTCTGCACTTCAAAAATGCTTTTTTTTACTAAGAAAATCATAGTAAAAAATGCCTTTGTAACTTCAAAGACGTTATTTTACTAAGAAAAACATAGTAAAAAATGCTTATGTAACTTCAGAGACATTACTTTACTAAGAAAATATAGTAAAAACTCCTCCATAACTTTAAAAACATTATATGGGATGAGTGTTGGGAAAAGGAACCAAATCGACAAAAAATTTTTTTTTGAAATAACAAATGATCTGAATCAGATGACCTAATTTACATCAATTTTACTTAGAAACTTTTTTTTAAAAAAAAATCAATTTGATCCATTTTCCCAACACTCATCCCATATTGGACAAAAAAGGGGTTCTAGGACAAAATTCTATAATAGCTGTATAAATAGTAAGTCTCCGCCTAAGTGCAAAACTGGTATACGAATTTTATGGAATCTATATTGAACTATAAATTACCCTACAAGACCAGAAACATATCAAGAATCTATAATGAATTCATGCTTTAAAATATGCTAGGTATAAATCCTGTTAACTTATCTTCTTACCCATATTTTTTAGCTTTCAAGATAAAGGAGTATACCATCTGTATTGGAAAGCTAAGGTACGTGTACCTAGTATTGTCATGGGACATAGTTAGGACATTTATGGGACATTGATGAGACAGATGGGACATTTGGAACATATATGGGACATAGTTTAGATATATAGTTGGGACATATAGCTGGGACAGCAAATGCTTAGGACATAGGAAATGTACATCACTGCATGTACTATGTAATATATGTGGCAAGTCTACTGGCTCATCTTCTGGGCGGTATCCACTACATGTTAAAGATTATTATGTGATCCAATACTATAACAGATTACGTGATAAGACCTTAAAAAACTCAGAATAGATGATAACTTTTGGTTAGATTTTTTTGGATAGACTTGGCTAAGCGAATTTTTTTTGGTTAGACTTTTGACCTTTGCTATTTGATAATGAATCAGCTTTAGAATTAATTCTATAATAACATGAAACTTAGGTATGTTTATTGAGCTTGCAGAAACTCATATAGAGCACACTCGAACACTTCGGTCCTCGGTGTTCTATACTCATTTCTAGGGCAAACAGAATAGCATATATTTTTCATTATATAATTTGGGATTAAAAATAGGTCAGTACGTTAACAACACGGTTGAATAGATAGGCGGATAGAACTTTTGTATTTATTCCTTGAATAAAAAATTTTTAGTACAACAATCACTGATGAGGAAATATCTCGTTTTTCATGACCACCGCGTAATATCATGTCGTCTTGACTTGAGATTATATGATAAGTGGTCAGGCGGATTTATTAGTTCCGAATTTTGACCTGATTACTCACGTGATTTTTGATCGTGAAGATTCTTCACGGTTGCACCTATGATGTGATAATATGACATAATGAAATATGCTCGACATCATGTATCACAGGGATAAATAATTGCATGTAATTTATTCCCGAACTTTCCTGCATATATTCTTGCGTAAAGACCCTTGTTGTCTTTATATAAGGATAGCATCAAATTTTTCTAAATTGGAGCGTCTTGAGATCAGATTTTCGTGATGCGGATTGATCCCTGCAAATTATAGGTGAATCCTTTTATATCCACCTTGTGCGAGTAAAATAAAAATGAAAAAATCAAACTGAATAATCAAACTTGCTCCATCAATCGTGTGCTTGATTCTTGAAGTTTCGATACAAGAATCAAAAAACTTATCTCTAATAAAAGTTTTCAATACAGAGGCGGATTGGAATTGCATGAATAAGAAACATAAAGGTAAGGTTAATTGAACTATTATTTATTGTTATTTTTTTTAACTCATTGATACTTTTGCTGGCAATAATGAAATGGATAAATTCGGATATTTTTCTTCGAAGATTGGTAAATAGATAGGCATATAGATAGCGAAAAAGTTAGCATTAAATAATAATATGAAGTAGCTAGAAGGAACTCTCATATTACGAAACTTGCTACTCCAATATTATTTTTACTCATTAATAAAGATGTATGTATATTATAAAGTAGACATAATGTGTGTGAAGATTCTTTATTAATAAAAAAATTACAGAATCTGTATTAAACCATTTTTATTAAGCCTTTTGGTGTTGAAGTTTGTCAATCTCATCGTTTCAGCATATAAAAAGCTTATTGTAACCCATGTACGTACTATCTTTGTTATATTTATTACTTGTAAAGAAGAAAATTATTTAAACTCATCTGAGATAGGAAAAGATAGGACTTGCTCTAAGTCATAATTGTCTGGTGGTGACACTAATCCACGGTGAGCAAACGTCGGTGAAAGGTATTCAGCTATACATTCATCATCAATGAGAAGCAACCAAGGCATTTCCCAAAGATTTGACCCTGTAAAACGTCGCACCGTAAAAAAGACAAGAAGTATGTCGTAGTCATAAGTGTAGCTACTGACCGATTGAAGTGTTTTATCATACCAACGTTTAAGTTCGGGTCCGCTGACAGTAGGATCATTCGTATCAAATTCTGAATGTTTATCCTGCATAAATATTGCCAATGGTTTTTCATTAGAAGCGGACTCTAAAACCCAATGATGATCAATATTGGCACATCCTTCGGCACAATGGAAAATAGCCGTTTCAAGTGGGCGGGTAATGTCATCGTCGCACAGCACTAATCTATTGAATTCCGCAATGTCCGTTGTTTCAACAAGTAACTTATTTTTCTCAATAAAGACATCTAACTGACGCAATTTCACCTGATATTTAAGAAGATTTGCGTTGCCTTTTGCACCACGAAAGATATCTGACAGACACCAGCTCTTTTGCTCCTCATTGACAAGACGAATTTCCAAATCATTGATTTCCTTAGAGGTTGAATCAGTAAGCTGTTTTTTTAAAAACTGAATTCGTGCATTTTTAACATTGATTAAAGCTTCAATAAGTGCTCTTTGATAGTATCCATGAAGACATTCGAAATCTTGCCACCACCAAGGGCGATCTGTTGTTGGGATAAGGAGAAATTCATCTGGAAAAAATGGATGAGGTAGGAGCTTTTGGTTGAGAATCTTCAACAACATAAATGGTATAATGATTATGAATTCATCATCGGGATAACCTTCTGGATTTGCAAGAAAGATTAATCCATCTCGTTCAATGTCTCCAATTGAAGTTTTACTAGGTAGCTGAAAATTTCGCTTAACAATTTGTCGAGTAAGCCCAAATGAGACTATGGTACGGATGTCATTGCGATTTTTCCAGTAGCCTGGATTATCTGGGTCAACCATAACAGGTGCATTCATTAAATAATGCAGATTATTTCCCCAATCGGTTTTCGTTGTAATAGCCTCAGGAGTTAAAAAGTAACTAAGGAACTTTGGAACAAAGCCAGTATCAAATAGAGCAATACGAAAATGCTCTTGTTTTGAGATATTATCACATGAATTTTCGCTGTTCCTAGTTTCGATAGAGTCATATTTATCAAAAAACATTTTGATTGCTGATGAATAATTCAATGGCTTGAGATGTACCAAAACTTTATTATATTCTGTATGTAAAAAGTGAATGTCGATTGCAGACGTTCCTGTACATATTGGAATGATAAAGAATTCATTCTCACTTTTGTTCATCTTCTGATTGGACATGAAATAACCAATCTCATTTAACATTTCTTTAAAGAAGTTACGGGCAACCTCCCATTCTTCCTTTTCGACCCGTTGAACGTAATCGATATATAATTGATACTCGTCGATATGTATGATGACAGCCTCAAGACGTCGATGCGTTGTTTCGAAACGGCGGTGAAGGATTTCTTGCATCACATCATCAAGACGATAGAGGTTGAGTGATTCTTCCGGCAGATCCTCCAAAATCTTGCCCGCAATGCCTGAAGCCACTGCAACACGAGCTCCTATTCGCACACTTGTAGGACGCAAATACATTTTATCGAGTTTTCGGAGATACTTGCACCCATTATTAAAATCTATGAATATATAGCAAGGGTCATTGAGGGCATCCTTGACCAAGTTAGAACCTATGTTCTTCAATGCTGTCTCTTCTGCAATGGAGATTAGATGTTGTGACTCCATTCCAACTCGCGATTTTCCTATCCCTGATCCACCGGGAACCAGAATAAAATAATGATTTTGGTGATAAGTTGACAAGCGGTTGGCATAATTCATGTTGGCAATCTTTGCAATTTGATCCATAGCTTTTTCACGATTATAAAACTTGTGGTCAAAATCTCGTCGAGAAGGAGAGATTGGTTGTTGAGAAGAAAGAATAGAAGTCAATGTCGTGGCTAGAAGAATGAATGACGAATGAGAAACGAAATGGACTGCAAATATCTTGTTCGAGAGGTAAAACGTTGGGAGACACTTACCAGTGGAGGTGGGGACTATGAAGATGTGAAGATGGTTTTTTTTAGGCTTTTTTTTGTCATTATCATAATATTTATCAAGGTTACACCCAGGATTCATTATTGTGCTAATATCTTTAATCTCTTCTTCGGTATAGGGTTTATCTTCAAGGCTATCAAGTTCAATTTCGGCTTTCCAAATATTCATTTTAGTTATTTTAGCTTCCTTAATTTCATCTGTGCAAAAAAGTTGATCTTTTAAATTTGCAACGGTCATATCAGCAAATTTGGCCGTGATATTTTGTACGTCATTTTGTATGTTAAAAAATTCGCCAATAGGTACAGTGAAAATATCAACAGGAGTTTGTCTTGAAATCAAACAGTTAAGTGAAAATAACATGTCGTTTCTGTAAATGACTAGTTTTTTTTAGAAAAAGTTAAAAAATTTTAAGAAAGTTTGAGAGAAGTAAGTCTAAGATATATACTTTATATACTTTTCTGAATATATCATGATTAATTATAAAATGATCTTTATAAACTCTTAATTGGTGACACGAGATATGATATAATGATATAAATGATATAAGCATAGTAAGAAAAAAGTTTATAAAATTAACTTGTCGGCAAGCGAAAAAGAGAGATTCATTCGATTTTATCGTTACTCGGATTGCATTCACAAGGTATTTATTCAACTCTTCGGTTGTACAACAATTAGTAACCAACTAAATTAAATCTGGTGTAATTAAGGCGTTTTCTCTGATGTAAGATTTTACGTTACAACTTTTTTTTTCTTATTCCGCCGTCGTGCTATTTTCTCCGAGCATGAACTCATTAAAAAGAAATCGATCTATCGCAGTTTAAGTGTTGACAAAAAATTATTGAAGTACGGAAGAGACATTTCGCCATTAAGGTATGAATGAAATATATTTTCTTGCATTTGCGAGAGCTTGCAAAGCTTAATATCTATTTTTTTTTGCTCAGAATCTTATTATAAACTTTTGGTGAGTTCTATTAAGGTCAATACTGTTAATTTATTTCTGACTCTGCATAACTGACGATCATTTTGTTCTATTCAGAATATCGATGTTGGGGACAAATGAAATCGGATGAGTTAATGTTGAGACATTATGTTCGTATAGATAGTTTAGATAAACGAGATACCGGCAGTCATTATCATAGAAATTCTATTTCGCTTTGTAAAACAAGTTTATATATTACCGAATCTTGTAACTTATTTTTACATCAATAAATCAGTAATTCCGATGAGGATATTACCTCTTTTTTTTTATCTATGCTAACGAACTTTTGAATTATTCCATCTCATATAAAAAATTATTATCGAACATGCAATCCATTGATTCATTGAGAGAATTAAATGCCAAGCTCTTAGCCGAGATTGCTGATCAGAGTCATATGACATGGAGGAACTTAAATCCGATTTGCATGATGAAATTATTGCCAAGTTGGATAAAAATATAATTGTGAAACAGGAGTTAAAGTAACAGTTATCATCATTTGCATACACTTCTACGTCAGATCAAACTTCAGAAGAACAGGATCTATCTTCAGATACCGCACAAAATATAGTTTGCATGTTCAAGAAAGCTAATAAGCTTGGTCAAGAAGCAATTTTATACTGGTTCTACTTTATAGAAAAATATGACAAAAGGATTGATAACCTTGTTTCTGGTGGAGTTAAGAAAAAACTGCAACATCTATGGTATATCAAGAAATCAAACAGCTTTACCTGAAATAACAGATGTGAATTTGTGTCAAAAAATCCTTAGAGCTAGAAAATTATATAAATTATTCAATACATTGGAGCTAGAGAAAATTAAACAGGTCTTTTATAACACAGATGCCATTTCGAGTCTCAATTACCAACAAATCCAAAATATAATAGATTATGTGAATTAAGTAATAAGTTCACACAATGAAACTGTGAAGATTCTTCATGATCAGAATCATGTGACTTCAAAAATTAATCTGACTAATACATATACACTACCTGAAAATAAGTTTGCGCAGTCAGTTTTTCAGAATTTATTCAAAATCGTATATAATAAAAATCAATATATTTTGGCACCAATCGAAAGCCCTGCTTCTAGTTTACATGTCTATTTGTTATTGTTGCACACAAAATAAAAAATAATTTAAAATCACAAATAAACATTGCGGTTCTAAAAATTGATCTGACAATTTATTCATAACATAATGGGTAAAAATCCCGAAGTTACCGTTATAGAACGAGCACAAATAATCAGACTATACAAAAGTGGCCATAAAAAGTCTGATATTGTCAAAATTATGAATCGGCCAGAGTCTACAGTTAGAACAACGATTTTACGATATAAAGATTCAGATAACATGTTGAGCAAAAAAAGAAGTGGTTGGCCTCCATTACTTTACGATAAAGATCGCAAAATTTTAAAAAAAATTGTTAATAAAAATAATAAAGCTTCAGCTGATATGTTATAAAAGAAATTTTCAGCATCAACTGGCCAAAATATTTGTACTAAAACTATTTGAAAGAATTTGCATCAAATTGGATATAACTCCTATCGAGCTGCAAAAAAACCATTTTTAAATGAAAATCAACATCAAAAACGGCTAGAATAGTGCTTAGAAAGACAAAATTAGATAGTGCAACAATGAAGAAATGTCATATGGAGTGATGAATCAAAGTTTACTCTTTTTCGTAATGATGGTTCCTCCTGGGTTTGGCGTGAACTGGGCACTCGTTTTAATATTGAAAACCTGAATCCATCCGTTAAACATAGTGGTGGGGATCATGGTTTGGGGATGTTTTTCAGGCAAAGGATTGGGTCCTTTAGTGAAAATAGTAGAAATAATCAATCGACATAATTATATAAAAATTTTAGATGATAACTTGTTGCTATTTATTAATTCAAAGTTTCGTAACTGATCTTACAAATTTCAGCATGATAATGCACCCATTCACACAGCTAATGATGTTAAAGCATGGGTTACTGAAAAAAAAATTAAAATGCTAATTAATTGGCCTGCTCAAT